TCATCATCATCATCATCATTAGCATCATCATCATCATCATCATCATCATCCTCCATCCTTCCGTCCTCGTCTCGTCATCATCCTCATCTCATCCTCATCCTCATCCCTCATCCCCATGCCCCAATCATCATCATCCTCATCATCATCATCATCATCATCATCATCATCATCATTAGCATCATCAGCAGCACCAGCATCATCATCATCATCATCATCAGCATCATCATCACCACCATTATCATCATCAACAACAACGTCATCATCAGCATCATCATCATCATCACCACCACCACCACCACCAGCACCACCACCACCACCACCACCACCACCACCATCATCATCATCATCCATCATCATCATTTCATCATCATCATCATCATCACAACATCATATCATCACAATCATCATCATCAGCATCAACATCAACATCATCATCACATCATCATCAACATCATCCATCATCAACACATCATCAATCATCATCATCAACATCAACATCATGCATCATCTTCATCATGTTCACCAGCAGCAGCATCATCAATCATCCTCATCCTCATCCTCATCTCATCCTCATCCTCATCCTCATCATCAGCATCAGCATCAGCATCAGCATCAGCATCATCATCATCATCATCATCATCATCATCATCATCATCATCATCATCATCATCATCATCATCATCATCATCATCATCATTATCGGCATCATCATCATCATCAGCAGCAGCAGCCACAGCAGCATCATCGTCATCATCATCAGCAGCATCAGCATCATCATCAGCATCTTCAGTTTCAGCATCAGCAGCAGCAGCATCATCATCACCATCATCATCATCATCGTCATCATCATCATCATCAGCAGCATCATCATCGGCAGCAGCATCAGCATCATCAGCATCAGCATCATCATCATCATCATCATCATGAGCATCATCAGCATCAGCATCATCATCATCTGCATCATCAACCTCTACATCAGCATCATCATCGTCATCATCACCATCAGAATCATCATCATCATCATCATTATCAGCATCATCATCATCAGCATCATCATCAGCATCGTCATCATCAGCATCATTATCATCGTCATCATCATCAACATCACAACCAGCATCATTATCAGCATCATCAGCAGCAGCATCATCAGCATCATCAGCGTCATGATCATCATCATCATCATCAGAAGCAGCATCAGCAGCACCATCAGCGTCATCACCATCACTATCACCATCGCCATCATCATACCCATCATCATCAGCACCATCATCATCATCATCATCAGCAGCAGCAGCAGCAGTATCATCATCCGCATCAGCATCAACAGCAACAGAATCAGCATCAGCATCACCAGCATTATCCTAATCAACCCAATCATCATCATCAGCAGCGTAATCACCAGCATCAGCAGCATCATCAACAACATCATCGTCATCGTCAGAATCACCGTCGTCATCACCACCATCACCAACAACATCATGATCAGAATCCGCAGCATCATCATCAGCAGCAGCATCCGCACCACCACCACGGGCATCATAATGATCATCAGCATCACCATCATGTCAGCAGCATCACCATCATCATCATCATCATCATCATCATCATCATCATCAGCAGCAGCATCAGCATCAGCATCAGCATCATCATCATCATCATCATCAGCAGCAGCAGCATCATCATCGTCGTCGTCGTCCTGCTTCATACCCCCCATCATCCTCATCGCCCTCATCCGCATCCCTATCCTCCTCCTCCACTTGCTCCTCCTCACTGCTCGTTCCCTGTTTCATCTAGCGACGCATGCATGCAAAGCTCGCGCCTCAGCCTCCAAGGAGGATGTCGCCGCATAGCCATCCAATGAGCACCAAAGGGCTTCTACTAACGGTGCGGCCGCGGAGCCTGGTCCCTGGCGACCCGCGCCACAATTCGCCAACAGCACAGCATCGCATAGCCAGCGGCCAGGTGGCAACTGAGGAGTTTCCCACCAGGAACTTCCATTATCCATCGTGACGTTGGCAAAAGGGCCTACATTCTGATCACGGCCTCATCCTCCGCCTCCTCCTCCTCCTCCCCCATTCCTTTTCATGGCAAGCAGCTCCTCCCGGACGCACCCCGAGGCGTGTCAGTAGGGCGGGCCCCGCGTTTCGCCTGGGACTTCCGCACTGATATGACCCTTGAGCTGAAACTTTTTTTTTTTTGAGGTAAAAACAGAGGAGAAGGGAGAACCTCTCTGACGCCGTCTGGCACGAACACAAAACAGGCGGTTCGACATGAAGGCACACAGGCGGTTGCGCCCTCACTATACTGGCGACGTACAGAACCCGAGCTCATCCCACGCCAGCCCCTACAGGGATGGACGCACGAAGCTCGACGGCCTTTCGGCCCGCATGTTGCGCGTGTTGCAGACCACCGACGGCATCGGGTTCGCGAAGCTCTTCGGGACGCACCCCCTGAACGGCGCCTTCTCGGGCTCATCACTCTTGGGCTTTCGCACCGTCTTCACCTCGGGGTCCCCGATGTACTCGTAGGTGCCCCCCAGGTAGTCGCGCGTTTCGCCCTCCTTCACCGGCTTCGTCGGCACACCCTTCTTGGGGGGGTTCGCCGGTCTGAACGGGACCTCGTGAGGGTACGGCTTGGTCAGCTGCACCTGCTTCTTCTCTCTGGGCACGTTGCTGCCGGGTTCCTGCTGGAACAGCTCCTGGTCGGCCTGGAAGTTCCTGTAGCCATGGTCGTTCTGCTTGAAGGGCGCCTCCTGGAGCTTTGACTTGTGCTCCTCCAGTTCCTTCATTCGAAGCTTCCTCGGGGCGTTGTAGTCGTCTTCCATGTACCCAGGGTGCGCATTGCGCTCACCACCGAAGCCGAAGAGCACTCCTTGGGTCAGCGTGCCGCCGCCTCCCTTCTTCGGCGGGTTGGTCAGGATCTGCCTGGGTGGCATATAGTCCGTGTACTTCTCCTTGATCGCCTTGGGATCCTTGGCTGTGTCCTTGTGGTCAATGTACTCGTAACCGAGCTTGTTCACTGACCAGCCAATCTTGCCGGGCGGCATGAACGCCGCCTCGGGGTTCAGGTGCTGCACCCTCCCCTTCTTGATGGCGTAGCTCGCGTCCTGGTAGGGGTCCCCGAGGCCGATGCTCGTCTCGAAGGTGAAGAAGGCGTCCGGCCCCGCGCCTTTCTTCGGCGGGTTGCACTGGATCTGCCGCATGGGCTCCGCGATCTCCTCTTCCTCCTCAATCTCTATCCCATCAGGGGCCTCCTCAGCTGCAGCAGGCTTCTTCGCAACCTGTTCTTGGTCCCCTTCTGGCAGCGAAGTCTGCACCGACACAGCTGCCGCAGGCTTCTTCATCACGCTGGCGGTCTCGTCGCTCGCCGGAGTCTTGTCTTGAAACTCCTTTATCTGCTTTGCGGTGTATTGCTCACGGTGCCCGTCGGGGTACAAGATAATGTAGAGGCACTCCCCGGAGATCGTGCCCACCTTCGACGCCGGCTTCTTCGCGACGGCAGGGGCCGCCTTCGGCCTGCGCTTGAGGATCGGCGCGTAGGAGTTGTCGCCGATGGCCAGGGAGCCGCCGAGGCCGAAGTAGCCCCAGCTCGGCTGGTTCGAGCTCTCCAAAGACTCCTGCAGGATCTTCTCGCGCCTGGACGCGTGCTTGTCGTCGTCTCCCATTGGCTCTGCTCACCTCGTGGGCCCGGGCAACGGCCCGAGGCGGCGGAGGCGAAGACGCTAGGACCGGTGCGTCGGGACCCCGGCCGAGTTCCGGCCGAGCGCAGCACTGCCTTGAGCCAAAATGGCTACGGAACCCTTGAGCTGAAACTTTGCAATCGAGTTCACGGATGGAGGCGGGGCCGCTCTCCGAATTCGGCTCTCGCCTGAGCGCCGCGCACATTTGAAGGGGCCCTGGGACACACAAATAAATACACACAAATAAAAATACTCCCCATATATTTTCCTATATTTTCTGAGTTTTTGTCTTCCCGCCCGATTCCTGTATTTTCTCATATTTTCTCGGGAATCGACGATTAATTGTGTCTCTGTGTGTTTTTTCCCCTCCTGAACACTGCTCTTTGCGGGCCGCTCTCAGACCGCCGCCTCTGGCCTTGGCGCCGCCCGCAGATTCTCCTGAGAGCGTGCGGGAGCTCCACGGGGTCACGAATGAATAGGGGGAAAACAAACCTACCTCGCTTTTGACCACCCTCGCTTCCAAGAGATACCAAACGATGCCAAACTACGGCCTGTACTGGTCAGGCCGCTTGACGAGGAGGCGCGTGGTATGACTTGGTTTTTCCTGGAAGCGAAAGCGGGGTAGGTAATTCACGCTCTGAATGAAGGGCGGGTCGTTCTCAAGATATGGCTCTCGCCTTGGCGCCGCGCGCACATTCGTCTTCAAAGCTCGCAAGAAGGCTTCACGGGTGGAGGGCGGTGCCTTTCCGAAAAATCGGCACGCGTGGAGCTCGTCTTTTGGCACCGCGCACAGCTCTGCTTCCGAAGCCGCCGGAGCTTGACGGATGGGAGGGCGGGTGGTCTTTTAAGTGGGCGAGCAACGACAGAGGTACATACAACGCCCTCCGCGGTCTTGCCTGCACGAACGGCCGCGTGGACACGCACTCCAGGGGAAACTGACCGCGTACGTGCACATATGTTGCTGGCCTCTGAGTGGGCGAGCAACGACAGATGTACATGTACGCCCTCCGCGGTCTTGCCTGCACGAGCGTCCGCGTTGACAACGCACTCCAGGGGAAACTGACCGCGCACGTGCACACATGTTGCTGGCCTCTGATTAAGATCTACACCGTGCGAAATGCTTAAGAAATCATGGGCTAAGAAATTCATTGTTTCAGAACTTGAATAAAAACCCATCAATTCTATCAAAATCTTAGGATTTACATGGAAACATTAAGAATAATCGAGACTCTGGCCGAAAACTTGAGTTTTCTTAAGCATCGCCCAGGGTGTACATATGTTGCTGGCCTCTGATATTAAGATCTGGCCCTCGCCTCGGCAC